AGCTCATTAGCATTTGAGGAGAATGACTCACAGTCATAAAACCAACTGCAAAGTGTTCATATAGGTATCAACTATACTGCACACCTTTTAGATTTTTGATATTTATTAAAATAAATGGTAAATTCATATCTACCCTGTAAAAAAACTTCCTGTAGAAATTACAGTAACTAACTGGCAGCAGTTCGCTCGTAACTTACTGTAATTTTATTGTGTAGTAAAAATACTGTATTTTATTTTACCGTGTCATTTAACTTGCTGTAAATGTATTTACAGTGTAATATTGTTTAACTGTAAAATATTTTATTATTGTATTCATTTTTTGGTCCTTTCTTGAGTAATGCATTTTAAAACAATAGAAAATATACTGTTATACTGTAAAGTTTACTGTAATTGGTTTGCTTCACTTTTCAGTTACTGTAAAACTATATGCACAAATTGTAAAATTAGCAGTTCCATTAAATAACAATGGGGAAAAAAAACAATGACAACTGTGTAACTTCATATTTTTCATTTTCCCAATGCCCTCCCCCAACCCAAACCTGAAACTTTACGTTAAAGAACTGTAATATATTAGACGATTTGCAGAATTTAAAACTATTTACATAGGCAGCACTTCCAGTCAACCTTTTGAGCCCTCTTGAACTGGCTGTCTGTCATTGGAAGGCACATGAAACCACCTCCTGCATTGATGGCATTCGTTCTGAAAAAAGAAATATAATAATCTAATCTAATTGCTTAGTAATCAATTATTCATTTAATTTCAACTCAGTTCAATTCATATTGCTTTATTGGCATGACGTCCTGAAAATAACAGTAGAACACTGGCAGCTGTGGTTGCTGTCAGTAATGAACTGTTAATTTACAGTTCTCTACAGTTGATTTACATCTCTTTTTTTTTTTACTGTGAACTGTTGTCAGTTAGTTACTGTAACTTCTACAGGAAGTTTTTTTACAGTATAGATATGAATTTACAGTTGTAGAGATGAATTGACAGTTTAATTTAATAAATATTAAAAATCTAAAAGGTGTGCATTATAACTGAGACGTACATGAACACGTTACAGTTGGTTGTGTTACTGTAAGTAATTCTCCTCAAATGCTATTGAAGTTAGAAAAGTGTATACCAATGTCGTATGTAAGTTTAGAGACGGTCCCTAGATTTGCAAATATCAAATGCCGGGAAATGACACCTCTGGCCATTCCGTTGGGTTGTTTGTAAAGTCACAGATACTGTACGGACAATACGGCTCAGTTTTTTCTATGTATCTTGCTCTGTTGAACGGAAAAAGTGACTTTACTAGGATTTACACCCTGCATCTCCTGTCAGCGGGTACATTCAGAAGTGATCAAAGGAACATAAATAGGATGAGTTTAGCATTTCCTTAAACATTTTCCATTTGCCCACCAATTTACCAATTTAATTTGCCTACTTTAATCACATGTTAAATTATTTCTATATGTATTTAAACAAGAATTTGTGTATATATACACACATTTATTTGCATATTTATTTATTTGTGTATTTATTTATTTATTTGTTTTTGCAGGTTTCGTCCTCCATAGAAATGGAGCGCGTCACAACAATGAACCGCCTACTTGCCTCACAAAAAAAATCTATGGAAAAAAATCTTGGAATGTCTACTATTGAACAAACAAACAAACAAACAAACATATATATTCCAATTATGTAGTCCATATAAAAATTTGCATTTCCATTACTGTGAAGATGACGAGTCCGCGTCGGCATTCGGTAACTTCATCTTTGTAGACACTCACTGAAAGCACTAGTTTATTAATAAATAAATTCAAATTCTTTTCCCCGGGCACATTCTTAATCATTAATTTAGCCGGTGCTTGGTGGCAAGCTTTACGCGCGCGCTTGAGCACAGAATATAGGCTACATGCCTATATGCCTAAAGGATGGTTTAGTAGGTTATTATATTAATCAATTTAATATAAACGTGCGACTAGTTGACTAGAGAAATCTTTAGTCGGGGGGCATGCAGGCCTACTTGGCACAAGGAACCGATCCATTTTAAAAATAAAACGCTATGACATTATGAAAAGTGCGACTGCAAATCACGTCACGATCTAATTGCTTAGTAATCAATTATTCATTTAATTTCAACTCAGTTCAATTCATATTGCTTTATTGGCATGACGTCCTGAAAATAACAGTAGAACACTGGCAGCTGTGGTTGCTGTCAGTAATGAACTGTTAATTTACAGTTCTCTACAGTTGATTTACATCTCTTTTTTTTTTTTTTTTTTACTGTGAACTGTTGTCAGTTAGTTACTGTAATTTCTACAGGAAGTTTTTTACAGTGTAGAGATGAATTGACAGTTTATTTTAATAAATATTAAAAATCTAAAAGGTGTGCATTATAACTGAGACCTACATGAACACGTTACAGTTGGTTGTGTTACTGTAAGTAATTCTCCTCAAATGCTATTGAAGTTAGAAAAGTGTATACCAATGTCGTATGTAAGTTTAGAGACGGTCCCTAGATTTGCAAATATCAAATGCCGGGAAATGACACCTCTGGCCATTCCGTTGGGTTGTTTGTAAAGTCACAGATACTGTACGGACAATACGGCTCAGTTTTTTCTATGTATCTTGCTCTGTTGAACGGAAAAAGTGACTTTACTAGGATTTACACCCTGCATCTCCTGTCAGCGGGAAAGTCACGCCCCCAGTTATCACAAGACCCGACCAAGTCCATGGTTGACACCCTCTCATTAGCATGTTGTGCAGAGGAAAAATAAATGCGGAACTACATTCAGAAATAAATGAGTGATCAAAGGAACATAAATAGGATGAGTTTAGCATTTCCTTAAACATTTTCCATTTGCCCACCAATTTATTTTATTTATTTGCCTACTTTAATTACATGTTTAATTATTTCTATATGTATTTAAACAAGGATTTGTGTATTTATACACACATTTATTTATTTGCATATTTATTTGTGTATTTATTTATTTATTGTTTTTGCAGGTTTCGTCCTCCATACACTGATCGTGAGCTAACATGCCTGAACCAGCGATGTCTGCTCCCAAGAAGGCCGTCACTAAGACCGCTGGTAAAGCAGGGAAGAAGCGCAGGAGGTCCAGGAAGGAGAGCTACGCTATCTACGTGTACAAAGTGCTGAAGCAGGTTCATCCTGACACTGGGATCTCTTCTAAGGCGATGGGCATCATGAACTCTTTCGTCAACGACATCTTCGAGCGCATCGCCGGTGAGTCGTCTCGTCTCGCTCACTACAACAAGCGCTCCACCATCAGCTCGAGAGAGATCAGACCGCCGTGCGTCTGCTGCTGCCCGGAGAGCTGGCCAAACACGCCGTGTCTGAGGGCACCAAGGCCGTCACCAAGTACACCAGCTCCAAGTAGAGCTTATTATGAAGGTCTCAGCTGCCACAGAGGCTCTTTTAAGAGCCGCCCATGTTTTCTGATAAAGCGCCTTTCGTCCTATTGTGGTGGGTTAACTGTTAAGTGAATAAGCCCAGAACCCTATTCCTTCCTTCCTCTGGGTAAGAAAGCACCAGAAACGCTACAAGGCATTAAACAATGGAGAAAGGCCATTTAATAATAAAAAAAGATGCGCTTGTGTTATTTCTTTAGTGTAATTTTGTTTGTCTTCTGTGATCTTTTGATCACCAAACATAAAATGTGTTGATTCTCTTATTATAACTGATCTAGCAATTAATAATAGGTTAAAATCATTTGATTTGATCAAATTTTGATATATATAAAAAAAATCACTTAGATGTGTTAACATGCCCATGCTATGCATTCTTTATGTGTGTGTGTGTACAGGTTTTGACTTGACTTGTGACTGAGATAATATGGTTAGATGTATATAGTGCAACACCAACTAGAGCAGTGACTCTGACCTCGCTAGTTATAAATGGGCCGTCACGTGATTATATTTAAATGCTGATTTCGGTAAGGGTTGGGTGCGGGATAGAAACGTTATGACAGGAATGGTTAATACTTAATTTCTGAAGGTATGTCTTTCAGTACATGTTTGTTTGGGCTCTCGACGGCGCCGAGTGAGGACCCGTGCAGAGAGAAGAGGGGCGGGGCTTGGAATGTCGAGGGACGTGCAGTGATTGGTTTGCAGCTGTAGCAGCCTCGGACCAATAGAAGACGGGCACGGTCTCTTAAAAGCGGTTGTCAGGCCGAAGCTCTGACAGTTCTGCGTTGAGTGTCTGTAAAGGTTGTTATTGTCTGACAATGAGCGGAAGAGGCAAAACCAGCGGTAAGGCCAGAGCGAAGGCTAAGACTCGGTCCTCCAGAGCAGGGCTGCAGTTCCCCGTCGGTCGTGTTCACAGGCTCCTCCGCAAAGGTAACTACGGCGAGCGCGTCGGTGCCGGTGCTCCGGTGTATCTGGCCGCTGTGCTCGAGTATCTGACGGCTGAGATCCTGGAGCTGGCTGGAAACGCCGCTCGGGACAACAAGAAGAGCCGTATCATCCCCCGTCACCTGCAGCTGGCGGTGCGCAACGACGAGGAGCTGAACAAACTCCTGGGCGGAGTGACCATCGCTCAGGGCGGCGTGCTGCCCAACATCCAGGCCGTGCTGCTGCCCAAGAAGACCGAGAAGCCCGCCAAGACCAAGTGAACACAAAACCCCCAAAGGCTCTTTTCAGAGCCACCCAATTTCTCTTTTAAAAGGGCGATTGTAATTAAACACTGTGTCGTGCTCCGTTGTCTCATCCTACAATGAAGGTTTGGGTATTAGCGCTATTGTAATGCACTTCATAATTTTCAATTCTGTATAACGTATTTCCCCACGTTTTGTTAAAGCACAAAACAACTATTAAACAATGGCCCGCAGATCCCAATCTATTTGTTGCAGCTGTACATTCTAACATCTCATGCCTTCCCTGGGAAATAAACCCACAACCTCAGTTTTACTTCTATCTGAGCTAGACACACGAGTTCAGTGACAACTCAGAGACATGCTTTCTGCTGCATTGGAGGTTCCCAAGAGCATAGTGGGCTCCATAATTCTTAAATGGAAGAGGTTTAGAACAACCGGGACTCTATCATGTTGATACCAGGTGGAAACGGGGCAGTAACAGGCCATGCATATTGTGAGTCTTTGCTACTTGAATGAGAAAACTTGATAGATGAATGCACTTTGAAGACACACACTTCATTTACTAGAACGTTTTAAATAAAATTAAAAAAAAAAGCTTTAATAAATGCTTGTAAGACATAAATTACACCATACCGTCTGCAAATGCATTGTAAGTACTTTGAAATTTAAAAGCGTGCATCTCAATCTTACTTTACATAATGTATAATAAACAATGCAGACTACATCTATAAGTGGCACTACAACAAACATGAAATAAAACCCACTATGACCAAAGACAAACTACCACGATTAAGTAGTTAAGAGAAAAGTGCTCTAGCATTCAATGTACATTCTGCAAACACTTCTGGAAACAGAAATGAAGTCCATTAGAAGACAAGAAATGCTGAACCCATCTCAGAGTCGACTGTAGGAGGTGTGGCCACCCTCATGTAGTCTACAGTAGTCCTGACCCACCAGAGCCCTCTTTTTGCATGGCTGACCCAGCCGAGTGATACCGCTGCACAGCGGGCGACCTGAAAAAGAACTTCACACACAAAAAAAAAAAAAAGAGATTTGAAAATGAGTGAGACCAGTAAAAAAAACAAAAACAAGGCATTTTTCCATGTCTTTTCATACCAAGACCTAATATCAAAGTCACAACAATGGATTCATAGAAACCATTCACATTTGTGCTCTATTCATTTGCATAAAGCAGGAGAACCCCCAACACTGCACTTTTTTGTGGTCTCTCTTATCTGACACACATCTGAGGTCTTGAATCGGGTGTGTTTGATTAGGGAGACATCTAAAATGAGCAGTGTTGGAGGTTCTCCTGCAGGACCAGGATTGGGAAGCCCTGGCAAAAAGGGTACATTTTGAATCGATGTTGACTTTAATGGGTCTTTGTTAAAGGATACCTGTTGCTGGCAAGTGAATGGTTGGGGCTTGAGCTTCGGGAGGGCTTCATGGTCTCCAGCACACCTCCTGGGTTCTTCTGAGGAACATTGTCCAGCAATGCCTGCCAATCAGACAATGACTTCAAGCACATGTTCAAAGAAATGTGCAGTTTGCAATTTAATTAATTAAATGCATAATATTACTGTTAGTTGTTTCGAAATGCCAAAAAAAAAAAAAAAAAAAAAGTTCTATTTAAAAAAAAAAAAAAAAAAAGTTCTATTTAAAAAAAAAAAAAAAAAAAGTTCTATTTAAAAAAAAAAAAAAAAAAAGTTCTATTTAAAAAAAAAAAAAAAAAAAGTTCTATTTAAAAAAAAAAAAAAAAAAAGTTCTATTTAAAAAAAAAAAAAAAAAAAGTTCTATTTAAAAAAAAAAAAAAAAAAAGTTCTATTTAAAAAAAAAAAAAAAAAAAGTTCTATTTAAAAAAAAAAAAAAAAAAAGTTCTATTTAAAAAAAAAAAAAAAAAAAGTTCTATTTAAAAAAAAAAAAAAAAAAAGTTCTATTTAAAAAAAAAAAAAAAAAAAGTTCTATTTAAAAAAAAAAAAAAAAAAAGTTCTATTTAAAAAAAAAAAAAAAAAAAGTTCTATTTAAAAAAAAAAAAAAAAAAAGTTCTATTTAAAAAAAAAAAAAAAAAAAGTTCTATTTAAAAAAAAAAAAAAAAAAAGTTCTATTTAAAAAAAAAAAAAAAAAAAGTTCTATTTAAAAAAAAAAAAAAAAAAAGTTCTATTTAAAAAAAAAAAAAAAAAAAGTTCTATTTAAAAAAAAAAAAAAAAAAAGTTCTATTTAAAAAAAAAAAAAAAAAAAGTTCTATTTAAAAAAAAAAAAAAAAAAAGTTCTATTTAAAAAAAAAAAAAAAAAAAGTTCTATTTAAAAAAAAAAAAAAAAAAAGTTCTATTTAAAAAAAAAAAAAAAAAAAGTTCTATTTAAAAAAAAAAAAAAAAAAAGTTCTATTTAAAAAAAAAAAAAAAAAAAGTTCTATTTAAAAAAAAAAAAAAAAAAAGTTCTATTTAAAAAAAAAAAAAAAAAAAGTTCTATTTAAAAAAAAAAAAAAAAAAAGTTCTATTTAAAAAAAAAAAAAAAAAAAGTTCTATTTAAAAAAAAAAAAAAAAAAAGTTCTATTTAAAAAAAAAAAAAAAAAAAGTTCTATTTAAAAAAAAAAAAAAAAAAAGTTCTATTTAAAAAAAAAAAAAAAAAAAGTTCTATTTAAAAAAAAAAAAAAAAAAAGTTCTATTTAAAAAAAAAAAAAAAAAAAGTTCTATTTAAAAAAAAAAAAAAAAAAAGTTCTATTTAAAAAAAAAAAAAAAAAAAGTTCTATTTAAAAAAAAAAAAAAAAAAAGTTCTATTTAAAAAAAAAAAAAAAAAAAGTTCTATTTAAAAAAAAAAAAAAAAAAAGTTCTATTTAAAAAAAAAAAAAAAAAAAGTTCTATTTAAAAAAAAAAAAAAAAAAAGTTCTATTTAAAAAAAAAAAAAAAAAAAGTTCTATTTAAAAAAAAAAAAAAAAAAAGTTCTATTTAAAAAAAAAAAAAAAAAAAGTTCTATTTAAAAAAAAAAAAAAAAAAAGTTCTATTTAAAAAAAAAAAAAAAAAAAGTTCTATTTAAAAAAAAAAAAAAAAAAAGTTCTATTTAAAAAAAAAAAAAAAAAAAGTTCTATTTAAAAAAAAAAAAAAAAAAAGTTCTATTTAAAAAAAAAAAAAAAAAAAGTTCTATTTAAAAAAAAAAAAAAAAAAAGTTCTATTTAAAAAAAAAAAAAAAAAAAGTTCTATTTAAAAAAAAAAAAAAAAAAAGTTCTATTTAAAAAAAAAAAAAAAAAAAGTTCTATTTAAAAAAAAAAAAAAAAAAAGTTCTATTTAAAAAAAAAAAAAAAAAAAGTTCTATTTAAAAAAAAAAAAAAAAAAAGTTCTATTTAAAAAAAAAAAAAAAAAAAGTTCTATTTAAAAAAAAAAAAAAAAAAAGTTCTATTTAAAAAAAAAAAAAAAAAAAGTTCTATTTAAAAAAAAAAAAAAAAAAAGTTCTATTTAAAAAAAAAAAAAAAAAAAGTTCTATTTAAAAAAAAAAAAAAAAAAAGTTCTATTTAAAAAAAAAAAAAAAAAAAGTTCTATTTAAAAAAAAAAAAAAAAAAAGTTCTATTTAAAAAAAAAAAAAAAAAAAGTTCTATTTAAAAAAAAAAAAAAAAAAAGTTCTATTTAAAAAAAAAAAAAAAAAAAGTTCTATTTAAAAAAAAAAAAAAAAAAAGTTCTATTTAAAAAAAAAAAAAAAAAAAGTTCTATTTAAAAAAAAAAAAAAAAAAAGTTCTATTTAAAAAAAAAAAAAAAAAAAGTTCTATTTAAAAAAAAAAAAAAAAAAAGTTCTATTTAAAAAAAAAAAAAAAAAAAGTTCTATTTAAAAAAAAAAAAAAAAAAAGTTCTATTTAAAAAAAAAAAAAAAAAAAGTTCTATTTAAAAAAAAAAAAAAAAAAAGTTCTATTTAAAAAAAAAAAAAAAAAAAGTTCTATTTAAAAAAAAAAAAAAAAAAAGTTCTATTTAAAAAAAAAAAAAAAAAAAGTTCTATTTAAAAAAAAAAAAAAAAAAAGTTCTATTTAAAAAAAAAAAAAAAAAAAGTTCTATTTAAAAAAAAAAAAAAAAAAAGTTCTATTTAAAAAAAAAAAAAAAAAAAGTTCTATTTAAAAAAAAAAAAAAAAAAAGTTCTATTTAAAAAAAAAAAAAAAAAAAGTTCTATTTAAAAAAAAAAAAAAAAAAAGTTCTATTTAAAAAAAAAAAAAAAAAAAAAAAAAAAAAAAGTTCTAAAGCAGTGGCTGCCACAAGGAGGCCTATTTTTCAGCCATCTAAGAGAACCAAATCGGTGGTCTGGTCGGATTTTGGATTTTACAAGAGTCCTGAAGGCAATTTAATCGAGGATGGTCACCCTGTCTGCCAATCTTGCAAGAAGAAAGTCGCTGCAAAAGGGGGAAACGCACCAAATTTGCGCCGTCATCTTCGTGACCACCACCCACTGTTATATAGCGAATGCAAGGTAACTTTTACCTCAATACCAAAACTAACTGGGCAAATAATTGGACAAAAAAAAAAAAATTTGATTGGAGATTAAATACTTTCTCACTTGTTTAACGCAAAGCTTCCGCGAAGAAAAGTTCTCAGCAAGTGGCTTTGAGCCAAGACGAACGAACGTTCAAACTATAAGGTTGGTATTTAAGGGACAAATGTATTGTATATTCATAGTTAACTTATTACACAGATTTTATTTTGTTTACTAATAATAATAATAATATATAAATATGGGGATATGAAATATTGAATTGAGATAATGTTTTGAAATCTTACCGGTTTATAAATCCATTATGAGCAGTGTACAAAACAATCGTCAGGACAATATGATCACTACAGCAAAATTATAGTAGTATTAATACTAAATTCCTCTGATTTCATTTTCAATACAATCAAAAACTGAGATGCAAGACGGTAAGCTGCATTTGAATGAAACGAGAGAGCGCTTCTGCGGTGATACAAGAGACATGCGGCGATCCCTATGCCCTACTCCCTTCGAAGGGCAGAGCCCTTGAAGTGTTCTTTGAAGGGTGCAGGGCATTACTGTCTTATAAGCGTTTGAAACTACCTCGGCGAAGGGAATGACTGACCAAATGTTACCTTGACAACGCTGCGCGTGCGTGCAGCATTCAGTACTCCATCAGTTGTTGCAAATAAATATTATTATTATTATTTTATTCAAATAGTCTAATTGGGTCTTATTTACTATTAAACGTTTTCAAACTAAACTTGCTTGCACTACCGTCTTAAATCATATTTCTATCACTGACGAAAAATACGTTGTCTTAAATAGAATAGGCTAATTAAATTTGTCTATTTTAATGTATGTTTGTATGTGAACTCAAAATCAACCCCAACTTTGCTTTAAAAAAAAAAGCATCACAAGATCTCATAACCAAAGATCACATGATCTTCAAGTGATTTATTATTAGGGCTTCATGTTAATTTAATGTTTATGCAAAAAAAAAAAAGTGCATATAGCTGCTAATTGTATTTGTTGATTTTCAAATAAAACTTATTTCTCAGTTCTTTTTGAACGTTTTCATCTAATTTGAACTAGGGATGTAACGGTATGAACATTTCATATCACGATTATAGTTAC